ATTCAGAAAAGAACTCTGTTGACTGTACTCAATCTACAGTTCAGTTAAAGGAACACCAACAACAGAGATGACAAAAAACCAGCCCAAGAACTCCAGTATCTCAAATGGCCAGAGTTTGTATGTCCTTCAAATTACCACACCAGTTCTCTCCAACAAGGGTTCCGGACCAGACTGAACTGGCATAAATGACAGAAATAGCATTCAGAATGTGGATAGAAATGAAGATCACTGAGATTCGGCAGGATGGCAAAACCCAATCCAAGGAAAGTAAGAACCCCAATAAAGTGATATAGGAGCTGAAGAATGAAATAGCTGGTATAAAGAAAGACCCTAATGGATCCACCAGAGCTGAATAATGCAAGATTTTCACAATGCAATCACAAGTATTAACAGCAGAATAAACCAAACTGAGAAAAGAATCTTAAAACTTGAAGACTGGTTCTCTGAAATAAGACAGACAAAAATAAAGAAAAAAGAATGAAAAGGAGTGAACAAAACTTTTGAGAAGTATGGGATTATATAAAGAGATCAAATCAACAAATTATTGGCATCCTGGTAAGGGACAGGGAGAAAGCAAACAACTTGGAAGACATATTTCAAGATATCATTCACTAAAACTTCCCCAGTCTTCTTTTTCTAGTAAGGGTAATAGTCAAATTCAGGAAATACAGACAACTCCCGCAACATTTTACTCAAGATCATCCGCAAGACACGTACGTAATCATCAAATTTTCCAGGAAAATTTTTGTGGACTATATCCTCAAATATATTTATCAGTTTGCTTATTGTCTGTCTTTTTCTCTCAGGAATGCCACTGTGTCATAGATTTGGTCTCTTTACATAATCCCATATTTCTTGCAGGCTTTGTTCATTTTTCTAATCATTACTTTAAAAAAAAAATTGTCTGACTGTGTTGATTGAAAGAACCAGTCTTTGAGCTCTGTGATTCTTTCCTCAGCTTGGTCTGTTCTGCTGTTGATACTTCCAATTTTCCTATGACATTCTTCTAGAGAATTTTGCAGTTTAAGAAGCTCAGTTTTGGTCTTTTTTAAAACGGCCATTTATTCTTTCAGCTGTTGAATCATTTTACTGGATTGCTTGGTGTCCTTGGATTGAGTTTCAACTTTCTGCCTGGTCTTGGTGATCTTCCTTGGCATCCACATTCTTAATTCCATATCTGTCCTTTCAGACATTACAGACCGGTTAAGAACCATTGCTGGGGATCTGTGGACTCCTTTGAAAGTCACAGGACACTCTGGCTTCTTTTATTGCCAGTTCTTGCCCTGATTCTTTCTCATCTGGGTGGGCTGGTGTCTTTTTCACTGTGGTATAAATTGAGTATAATCCATTGACTTAATTTCTGGAAGTTTTCAGAGGACTAAGTCTCTGTACGGGGTCTTTGTTTTTGAATTCTCACTCCTGGTTTCACAATGGGAAGAATTAGCAGTGGTTTTTGGTGCTGTAGTTTGGGATGCAAACCAGTTGATGGTGCTTGAGGGCAACTGGTGGTAGACTGGCTCCTACTCAGCCATGTGGCTCCTTTGTGTATCCTGGAATTTGCAGCTGTGCTCTGAGGTGTAAACGGGAGAGAAGGACCCCCTCACCTGCTCTGCTCCTGGGCCTTGGGGGAGCCATTTCTGATCATTGACACTGCCCATTATTTTGTTATGGTTGTTAGGTGTTTCAGGGCATGGGACTCCCACAGGCAGAACGTCTGGCAGGGACAACCCTGTGGAGGAGGCACACCTAGGTTCCATAGTAACTGGCAAAACTGTGACTCTCCCCTCTCAGTTTTCTGAGAGTGTGGACTCCTTCCCCAGTTGAATGGTAGGCCCAGATCCCAGCTCAGGACTCCTGAGCCACAGGCTGTAGCCTCGGGCCATGAGGATCTGCTAGCAGCACCCTCTTCTAGACCATAATGTTTGGTTTCCATTTGCACTGGGGTCACAAGGGCCCCCAGGCTGCAGGGGTACACTCAGATGGAGCAAAGCACCTAGGCTTGGCAGGGGAGGTTGCACTATGCACACATTCCTGTGGGTGCAGCCAAGCAGGAGCATTGGACAGGCAGGTCTGCAGTATGGACGGTGCCCTAGTCCCATGTGGAAGCCAGCCCTAGTGTTTCCTGCCCTGGCAGTTGGCCGGGGCTGTAACCTCTCAGAGGGATACGGGAAGCCGTGAGCAACCAGCACTTAGAAGCAGCCAGGCTCCGCCAGAGCTGTCCTGCACACAAAGGCCCCAGTTTCGTGCCTGCTGCAGCACAGTCTCCATTAAATCTCCAGGAAGATTCCCCTGCTGGGTTAAATGTCCATGTGAGGTGTGGGGATCCCTACAGTTAGTTTCTCAGAGGTCCATGGCAAGGATGGGCAGTCCCCAGTCCCTTCATTCAGGCTCCCTAGGAGCCATTCAGACCTGGAAACCAGCCCTAGCATTCAGGAAGCTCACAGCGGATTTCTAGCTTCCTTCCTCCTCACCCTAACTGTCTGTCTTCTCCATTCACATTCAGCATTTTCTCTCCAAAGATCTGTTCTGATTACATTGGCTTAGTTGAAATCCCAGTCTCTCTCTATGAGAGCAACACTTCCCCAATGTATCTTGAACCCTTCCCTCTAGTGTTATTTCTCTCTCTTCCAAGTATGGTTCTTACTTTAAAATTTTATTATTTTATAGTTAACCGTTCAAAGGTTTTATATTTTTTTCACAGAAACCATGCATATTTACTCATAGTATAACAATATGACTATAATATTAATAGTATTTTATACACATAATATTTAAAATGCATACTTTCACTGTTTTGAGGAAAATATCCCAGAAGTAAACATAATTGATAAATACATTGCCTTGTTTCCTATAAAATACTACAATTGACTCTATTAAATTACTATAGTGGAATGCTTCAAGAGAATGGGAATCTAAATGCCATATAAATTAATACTTACATAACTGTATCATAATTTTTAGTCTAATCAGTGTTGAATATGTAAATATGCCTATACAATATGCATTTCAATAATTCAGGCTTAATTATATTTTCGGAGTAATTGTTTTCTTATGTATAGGATAAGACATTTATTTCTTGATATTTCCTCTAAAATAGTTTGATTCTAATATTCATATCTATTAGAAACAATTAAAATTAAAGCTAATTTTCTCCAAAATACTCAAATGTTTTGGGCTCTGATAAAATTAGTTCTGATAACTCTAAGTTGCCTACTTAGTTATGAATTTGATATACATTACTCAGATGTGAGCTTAACTTTGATAATTTAAGCAGAGTAACATCAAAAAGATATGTAAGTTTATATTATTGTATATTATAGAGGCTTCAATATCTCTGGGGAGTTAGAATGCAAAATTATAAGATATTAAAGCTGGAATCGATCAAATAATTTTTGTCAATCTTTTATGAAAGCTCAAGATGGAAACTAAAGAAGAGCAAAGGAACACAGGGGTGATGAGTGTAAGATTCACTAGTACTGCAGAATATTACTCGCAATGCATAACTTTTTGGGGAGTTAAATGACTTTCATCACTCTGAAGGCAGAAAAATATACAATTAAATATTTTATCTACTATATTTGTGAAGGTCTAGAGAAATCCTTTCAAGAAATCTCATGTATTTATGTGCGATAGATATTTCACTAACTTGGCTTTCTGTTGGAATATACATAGAATTTGGTACAAGTCTCTCATCATATCTAGCAGAGATACCAATTCTTATGAGGAATTTTTATCCTTACATAAAGTAATTGTATATTTTTTACTCTCACAATCTAATATTAATATGGAGTATTTCCTCTGCTCTCTTATCAGATAACAAAACAGGAAATTTTTCTGAACTTTATTTTTTAGTGACCAATTTTAGTAACTAAACTTTATCACCAAATTCTTTTTGTCTTTTAAATGTAAAAAATAGCATAACAGAGATAAATTATGTATGTGATAAAGGTGGTAGCAATTGTAAGTCAGACATGGTTGTTAGAAGTATAATTAATAATAGACATTTCAGACATAAGCATTGGACCATTCCTTTATCTCAGTAAGACCTAAGCAATCTTTTGGTATGAAGTTTGCCTTTAGTGGATAGCATGATTTCCGAGGGCTATGAAGCTATTTAACTTTGAAAGAGGACAAACATTAAAGTAAAACCAATGTGAACAGTGACCAGCTCCTTTTATTTTATTTATGAATTCCTTTATTTTCCATATAACATTATCAATATATTTAGAAGCAAAGTGTTTATATAGAAATTTTACTTCCAAATATATCACTTGATTGTCAACCTTTTCTTAAGTTTTAATGAAATTATAAAAGTCAGATTTTACCACTACAATTGTGTCATTTCTGTGGCTTATATTTTAGGCCATTTCACATAAAACATAAGAAATAATAAGGAAAATTGAATTTTTTAATGTAGATATTCAACTTGTATTGCCTTCCTCACTCAATATTTGAAGCACTAAGGAAGCAATAGATGTGAAAGAAGAAACTCCAGATTAAATTGTATTTCTCCAGAAATAATGAATTAAGTTAAACTTCTCCAAATGAGTTTTCTTTTAATTTACTTCAGGGCCTAATCTGTCACATAGACATTTCTTAAATCAGATGATCATTCAATGTCTAAAATTTGCCTGTATGAGTGAATAACCCAATGATATTTCTGTATCAGAAAATCTTGCAAATCTACAAAAAATCTTGATGATAGAATGTTCTTCTTTTTGGTCATCAGTCTATTTAATTGCAACTCTCACATCCCCCCCAAAATGTATTAATATATTACTTGAATTTCTATTATTCAGCTCTCCTAGGAATTTTGTGTTGGTCATTTGCACCTTGAAAATATTAGAGAGACCAATAATGCTTCTGAGGGTGTAAATTTACTTCTGGGATATTTTCCTCAATAAAATGAAAGTATGAATTTTAAATATTATTTGTATTTTAAACTTTTTATTTGATTGTGTAAGTATTGAATTCTAATTTTTATTCTTTTTAAAACTTACCAGGCATCAGGAAGCAAGCAAAATTTTTGTCTATTTCTTTTTGGATGGAGGTCATGGGAAATATGTGGTACAGACGGAGGAAGAGAACATTGAATAATGAATTTCTGGGCTTCTGAAATGAAAAGATATAAAGATGGTAAAATACAGATTGACTTTAGTGTCAGCCAGGGCTATTTGAAATAATGTTTTTATATTTTTTATTTAATGAACTTAAAGTTTTATTTTTACCATATTCCAATTCTCTGGCATAAATTTTTATTTTTATTTTTTTAAGTTTCTCAAATTTTCTTACTTTAGTTTTTTTGAGGAACAGGTGGTGTTTGGTTACATGAATAAGTTCTTAAGTGGTGATTTCTGATATTTTGGTGCCCCCATCACCAGAGCAGTGTACACTGTACCCAATATGTAGTATTTTATGCCTCATACACCCCCCCCACCCATTTCCCCAAGTCCCCAAAGTCCATTGTATAATCTTTATGCCTTTTTGTCCTCATAGCTAGGTCTCACTTATGATTGAGAACATATGATGTTTGGTTTCCCATTCCTGAGTTACTTCACTTAGAATAATGGTCTCCAGCTCTATCCAGGTTGCTGTGAATGTCATTATTTTGTTTCTTCTTATGGCTGAGTAGTATTCTGTGGCATATATACATATACCACATTTTCTTTATCCACTCGTTGATTGATGGGTATTTGGACTGGTTCTATATTTCTGCAATTGTGAATTGTGAGGCTATAAACATGCATGTACAAGTATCTATTTCATGTGACTTATTTTTCTCTGGGTAGATAAGTGGGATTGCTGGGTCAAATGGTAGATCTACTGTTAGTTCTTTAAGGGTTCTCCACACTGTTTTCTAAAGTGGTTGTACTAGTTTATATTCCTACCAACAGTGTAAAAGTGTTCCCTTTTCACCACATTCACCTCAACATCTATTATTTTTTTATTTTTCTGATTATGCCATTATTGCAGAAGTAAGCTGGTATCTCATTGTGGTTTTGATTTGCATTTCCCTGATCATTAGTGATGTGGATCATTTTTGTATATGTTTGTTGGCCATTTGTATATCTTTTGAGAATTGTCTATTCACATCCTTTGTCCACTTTTTGATGGGATTTTTTTTTCTTGCTGATTTGTTTGAGTTCCTTGAAGATTGTGGATATTAGCCCTTTGTCAGATGTATAGATTGTGAGGATTTTCAAACACTCTGTGGGTTACCTGTTTACTCTGCTGATTATTTCTTTTGCTGTGTAGAAGCTTTTTAGTTTAATTAAGTTCTATGTATTTATCTTTGTTTTTGTTGTGTTTGCTTTGGGGCTCTTGGTCATGAAGTCATTGCCTAAGCCAATGTCTACAAGGGTTTTTCCAATGTTGTCTTCTAGAATTTTTGTGGTTTCTGGCTTTAGATTAAAGTCTTTGATCCATCTTGAGTTGATTTTGTATAAGGTGAGAGATGAGGATCCAGTTTCATTCTTCTCCATGTGGCTTGCCAATTATCCCAGCACCATTTGTTGAATAAAGTGTCCTTTTCCCACTTTATGTTTTTGTTTGCTATGTCAAAGATCAATTGACTGTTAGTATTTGGTTTTATTTCTGGGTTCCCTATTATGTTCCATTGTTCTATAAGCCTGTTTTTACGCCAGTACCATGCTGTATTGGTGACTGTGGCTTTATAGCATAGTTTGAAGTTGGGTAATGTAATGCCTCCAGTTTGTTCTTTTTGCTTAGCCTTGCTTTGGGTATGTGGCTCTTTTTTGGTTCCATATGAATTTTAGGATTGCTTTTTCTAGTTCTGTGAAGAATTATGTTGGCATCTTGATGGAAGTTGCATTGAATCTGTAGATTGCTTTTGGCAGTACTGTGTCATCTATGATTTTTTTCAGCAGTGTTTTGTAGTTTTCCTTGTAGAGGTCTTTCACTTCCTTGGTTAAATATATTCCTAAATATTTTATGTTATTTTATTTTATTTATTTTATTCTTCCAGCAATTGTAAAAGGAGTTGAGTTCTTGATTTTATTCTCAGCTTTGTTGCTGTTGGTGTATAGCAGGACTACTCATTGGTATACCTTCATTTTGTGTCCCGAAACTTTGCTGAATTCATTTACTAGTTCTAGGACGTTTATTCGATGAGTCTTTAAGGGTTTTCTAGGTATATGATCATATCATCGCAAACAGTAATAGATTGACTTCCTCTTTACCAATTTGGATGCCTTTTATTTCTTTCTCTTGTCTGATTGCTCTTGCTAGGACTTCCAACACTATGTTGAATAGAAGTCATGAAAGTGGGCATCTCTTACTTGCTCCAGTTCTCAGGGGAATGCTTTCAACATTTTTCTGTTCTGTATAATGTTGGCTGTGGGTTTGTCATAGATGGCTTTTATTACCACAAAGTATGTCCCTTCTATGCTGATATTGCTAAAGGTTTTAATCATAAAGTGATGCTGGCTTTTGTCAAATGCTTTTTCTGCATCAATTGAGATGTTCGTGTAATTTTTGTTTTTAATTCTGTTTATGTGGTGTATCATATTTATTGACATGCATATGTTAAACCATCCCTGCATCCCCAGTAGGAAATCCACTTGATCATGGTGGATTATCTTTTTGATATGCTGTTGGATTTGGTTAGCTAGTATTTTGGTGAAGATTTTTGCATCTATGTTCATCAGGGATATTGATCTGTAGTTTTATTTTTCTTATGCCCTTTCCTGGTTTTGGTATTTGGGTGACACTGGCTTCATAGAATGATTTAGGGAAGATTCCCTCTTTCTCTATCCTTTGGAACAGTGTCAGTAGGATTGGTTCAGTTCTTCTTTGAATATCTGATGGCATTCAGCTGTGAATTCATCTGGTCCTGTACTTTTTTTTTTGTTGGTAACTATTTAGTTACCATTTGAATCTCGCTGCTTGTTATTGGTCTACTCAGAGTTTCTATTTCCTCCTGGTTTAATCTGGGAGGATTGTATATTTTCAGGATTTTATCTGTCTCCCATGGGTTTTCTAGTTCATGCACGTAAAGGTGATCATAGTATCCTTGAATGATCTTTTGTATTTCTGTGGTATCAATTGTAATATCTGCCATTTCACTTCTAATTGAGCTTATTTGGATCTTCTCTATTCTTTTCTTGGTTAATCTTGCTAATAGTCTATCAATTTTATTCATCTTTTAAAAGAGCCAGGTTTTTGTTCATTTATCTTTTGTACCTTTTTCTGTTTCAATTTCATTTAGTTCTGCTCTGATGTTGGTTCTTTTCTTCTGCTGGGTTTGGGTTTGGCTTGTTCTTGTTTCTCAAGCTCCTTGAAGTGTGACCTTAGATTGCCTGTTTGTGCTCTTTTTAGACTTTTTGATGTAGGCATTTAATACTATGAACTTTCCACTTAACACCACTTTTGCTGTATCCCAGAGGTTTTGATAGGTGTGTCACTATTATTGTTCAGTTCAAATAATATTTTAATCTCCAACCTCGATTTTATTGTTGACCCAACAATCACTTGGGAGCAAGTTACTTAATTTCCATGTATGTGAATGGTTTTGAGATTTCCTTTTGAAGTTGGTTTCCGATTTTATTCCACTGTTGTCTGAGAGAGTACTTGCTATAATTTTGATTTTCTTAAATTTGTTGAGACTTGTTTTGTGGCCTATCATATGTTCTATCTTGGAGAATGTTCCATGTGCTGATGAATAGAATGTATATTCTGTAGTTGTTGAGTACAATGTTCTGTAAATATCTGTTAAGTCCATTTTGTTCTAGGATATAGTTCCGGTCCATTGTTTCTTTGTTGGCTTTCTGTCTTGATGACCTGTGTAGTGCTGTCAGTGGAGTATTGAAGTCCTCCACTATTACTATATTGCTGTCTATCTCATTTATTAGATCTATTAGTAATTGTTTTATAAATTTGGGAACTCTAGTGTCAGGTACATATATATTTAGGAATCTGATATTTTCCTGTTGGATAAGGCCTTTTGTCATTATATAAAGTCCCTCCTTGTCCTTTTTAACTGCTGTTACTTTAATGTTTGTTTTGTCTGAAATAAGAATAGCTACTCCTGCTTGCTTTTGGTGTCCATTTGCATGGGATAACTTTTTCCACCCCTTTACCTAAAGTTTGTGTGAGTCTTTATGCATCAAGTGAGTCTCTTGAGGACAGCAGATACTTGGTTGGTGAATTCTTATCCATTCTGCCATTTTGTATCTTTTACATGGAGCATGTAGGCCATTCACATTCAATGTTAGTATTGAGATGTGAAGTACTATTCTTTTCATCATGTTATTTGTTGCCTGAATACCTTGGGTTTTTTTCATTGTGTTGTTGTTTTATCGGTCCTGTGAAATGTATGCTTTAAAGAGATTCTATTAGTATTTTGGTGTATTTTGAAGATTTGTTTCAAGATTTAGACATCCTTTTAGTTATTGCAGTCCTGACTTGGTAGTGGTGAATACTCTCAGCATTTTTCTGTGTGTGTGTCTGAGAAAGACTGTATTTTTCCTTCATTTATGAAGTGTAGTTTCACTGTATATGAAATTCTTGACTAATAATTGTTTTTTTTAAGGAGGCTAAAGATAGGCCCCCAATCCCTTCTCACTTGTAGGGTTTCTACTGAGAAATATGCTGTTAAACTGATAGGTTTTCCTTTATAGGTTATCTGATGCTTTTGTCTTCAGCCCTTAAGATTTCTTCCTTCATCTTGACTTTAGATAACCTGATGACTATGTGCCTAGGTGATCTTTTTGTGATGAATTTCCACGTGTTCTTTGAGCTTCTTGTATTTGGACGTCTAGATTTCTACCAAGGCTAGGGAAGTTTTCCTTGATTATTTCCTAAAATATGTTTTCCAAACTTTTAGATTTCTCTTCTTTCTTGGGCACACCAACTATTCTTAGGTTTGGTCATTTAACATAATCGCAAATTTTTTGGAGGCTTTGTTCATTTTTTTAAAAATTCTCTTTTGTTCATTTTTTAAAAATTTAATTATCTTTGTTCTCTAATTTAATTCTCTTTGTTTTAAGTTAATTCTCTTTACTCATTTTTTAAAAATTCTCTTTTCTTTGTCTTTTTCAGATTGAATTAATTCAACAGCCTTGTCTTTAAACCCTGACATTCTTTCTTCTGTT